AAAACCTTATCTCTTCTCTAGACACTCTAAACCTACAGCCTTAAGTCTTCGAATTCCCACTAATCTCTCTCCCGTCTTCTCTCTCAATTTCCCTCTAGTTGCCGGCGGCGATAACTCACGGCGGCTCGTCTCCGTGCTCTGTTCCGTAACAGAGGAAGAAATTTCGCAGGAGGAGAAAACTGAAGAAACCCAGAAGTCAAATCTGAAAAGGAAGCTTTTTGTATTCAATCTTCCTTGGTCTATGAGTATAAATGACATCTCTAAGCTCTTCGGACAATGCGGGACTGTCTCCAATGTCGAGGTCTTTATTTTCTTTCTTAAATTCATTTATTTTTCTTGTTATTACGAATTGGTAACCTCAGTTTTCAAAAATTTCTCAGATCATAAAGCAAAAAGATGGGAAGAATCGAGGGTTTGCTTTCGTAACAATGGCTTCTGGCCAAGAAGCTCAAGCTGCTGTTGATAAGTTTGATTCTTTTGTAAGCTCAATCTCTATCCCCTTTTTGTTTTGTTCTATCAATTGCATTGCAATTAGATTCTTCTCTCATTGAATGTGAATAGGTTCATTTGGAAATAGCTAAAGAAAATGAGAATTTATATGACTGATTAAGTGCCATTATGCTTTTTTGCCATTCTTGATGTTTAAAGAAGCTTCTATGGCCTTTGTTATCAGCAAGTCTCAGGGAGGATCATAAGGGTAAACTTTGCAAGAAGGTTCAAGAAGCCTACTCCGAAACTTCCTAACGCTCTTCCTTCGGTTTCCCCTGGAGAAACCCGTCACAAACTCTACGTATCTAATCTCGCTTGGAAAGCAAGATCAACCCATCTCCGTGAGTTTTTCGCAGCTGCAGATTTTAACCTGGTTTCAGCTCGGGTTGTTTTCGCGGACCCTGAAGGAAGAGCTTCCGGTTATGGGTTTGTCTCATTTCCTACTAGAGAAGAAGCCGAGGATGCAATCTCTAAGCTCAATGGGAAGGTATAAAGTTTTATTCATTACCAATTTTCAAACCAAGATAATTAAGTTTGCTTCTTTCTCTTGGGCATGTAGAGAGTTCATTACAATTTCGTATTTTTATAGGAGCTGATGGGCAGACCTATCAGTCTAAAGTTTAGCTTCAGAAGCGCCGCTGAATCTGAAGATGGTGACACAATAGAAGACAGCATTACTTCTGAAGAAAAACCCGAAGATGGTAACACAATAGAAGACAACAATACTTCTGAAGGAAAACCCGCGGAATGACCTTATTCTTTCTCGGTTTATTCATTGGAAGATCTGACTATAGATCTTTATTACAATTTTGAATATCTACTGCTGCTATAAAGAACACAAAAATGGAGGTGTAACAGAATTTATCAGTAAACTAGACTTCAATCCTGCTAATGTATGATGAATCACCAAGCCATCCTGTAGCTTCACCATATCGAGTAAGTTCGTCGAATGAGACACAGCTTCCTGTTTGGTAATGCCTTCTTTTGATCTTCACATTGATATCCGTCGTCTTAACCATGAAATGTCCCGTAGAATGTGACCTCGAGAAACGCCAAGCCGATGCATCCATTAGCCTTTTGCTTGAACTAGTTGGAAGAGGATTTTCCTCGTCATGGTTTATGTCCTGAATAGTAATTGTGACTGTGTGGTGCAAAGATTCATGGCTTCTAGATCCGACCACGCCCGGGTCTAGTTCACATCGGCAAACAGGGCAAGTCTTGTGTAGCTCAAACCAAAGATCAATGCAATTTGAATGAAAGGCATGACGACAAACCGTTATAAGCCGCACACTGTCTTCATCTGAAAACTCTGATAAGCAGATAGCGCATTCCACCACGTCGTGATTTTTCATTGTTGCAGACGAATAGAGGAACTCGGGAAAGGACCGAATGATAATTGGGTCAAGGCTGGTGTTTTCAGGCGGGGAGGCCACATGGATTAGGTCACCGTAAGGTGTTCGCTGAAGGTTCCAAGCTGAAAACAACCGATTTAGAAGAAATCGCCAGAAAAAGAGAGAGAAGAACCCGGCAAAAATTACAAAGAGAAGAACGCCAATCAGAACTACGGTGACAGGCATGGAAACGGTAGGGAAAACATCAGTCTCTGGCATTGTTGTTGATGATGACATTTTGAAGAATGATACGGCCGGATCAGGAAAACTCCGGATCCACCAGTTTCACAGATTGCTTGGGAAAGAAGAAGGCTTGTTCTGAGAATTGCTTGCAATAAAAGGAACATTGTTCAAAGTAGATAGAGAGAAATGAGGAGAAGGAAGTGGCTTTGCTTAGCATTTTGAGCGAGTCTTTTGTGTGACTGTACAAACATAACTTATGATGATGACTCGATAACTTTCTAATGTGAAAAATTAGGAGCAAACAAAAAACGAAAAAAATTAAAGAAAACATGTAAATTGTGGGAGCTGAAAACAAAACCAGAGTATAAAATGACAATATTTGACGAATGAAACGAGGATTAGGTACTAATGATGTTCCGGTTTACAAGTACGAACCATGATTTTGTTTGGGGTTGGTCTGGTACAAGATCAGATTTAGGATCGGAAAAGGAAGAGAATAATAAGATGATACAACAAAAAGATGAAGCTAATATGTCACACAGTTAAGTGACAATCTACAACAACAAAGAGAGGAAGTTAATGTCACATAGTTGCAACTCTAAAAGGATATACCTCTGTCATCAATCTGTGACTTTATTCAATATCGTCGATCCAATCACCATAAACCCGACTGATTTTATCCGGTCCTTTCCATTTCCGTTGAGTTCTGACCCCGTTGGGTTTCTGCGTAACGGCACTAGATGTCCGTTGAGACAGGACTCCAGGAGAAACAAGGTTAGTCACTGTCTCTGCTTGTCCTGTTTGCTTTGTGACCGAAGTGGTAGATGTTCCAATCTTATTATCTTCTCCTTCGAGTCCCCCACCAAATCTATGCAACTCTGCAAAACAACATCATAAAGACTCAAAACTTTTAGCTAGCGACTATTGAAAATTTTCTGCATTTCTGTGGCCATTAGGATAACAAGCAGATCAAGAACTTCCTCCAATCAGAAACCGATAGACGTCACACTAACTAATCAATGATGGAAATGAACCACAAGGCAACATTTTAACCGTCTCACCCGATCCACTCTACTCCCATATATAATATAAGCTTTTACATACAATTTCACCAAGCACCATCGATTAACAAAAAGCTTTTTAGCTAAGGAAAAGGCGAATAACACAACTAAATGGGAATTACAGTCCATTGAAGATCCTCAAGAAACTCAGGAGCCATTACATAAAGAATTCAACAGACTCAAGCTAATAATTCTAGCTCTGAACATTATCTCCCAGTCTCAGTCCAGAGATACAGCATCCATTAACCTCCAGTGACACTCAAATCTCCCAATTCTTCATCAAACATCACTGAACTGAGTAAACTCCATTTCTATTCTACATTTGTAAGCACATTGTGGGTTCACTAATACTATGAAAAAGGTCATAACTTTACCTGAAGCACCATGAGCAAAATGGCAGTTAGCACCAAAAGGACAATACCCAGTAATCTCCCACTTGTTGCAAATCCTTGTCTTCCAATTTGGAGGCTTCACAATCTGAGCAACATCAGCACCATAACCACGAGGCCCTAAACTAATCGCAAAGCTTTCTCTGTTTCTTGAAGCATCGTCGTGTAGAAACGTACAGCTTTCTCCGTAAGGACATCCTTCTCCACTGTAAAACTTCTTGCAATGTCTTCCCTTGTACGATCTTCCACTCTCCGCCGGGATCTTAAACTCCTCCCGTGACTCACCCGACGGCGGACGACGGAGCTCCTCCGCGCTGTGAGCAAAATGGCATAAGTTAGCGACGTACGGACAAGTACCGGCGCGGAATTTGCAGCAGAGCTTCGTCTTGAAGAAGGATTTCCCGATCTC